GGAAGTCTACTAGGCTTCCACTGAGGATACTTCAGATGACCACAGAAAATGGTCCTGAGTGGCTTCAAGCCTTCAGGGTCCAACTGCCAACTGCAGCATCTCAGCAAGTGTCAGACCAGAAAGACCCAGCTGTGATACTAATGAAGACATAGCCAAAGTAGTTGGTGAGGCTGCAGGTATGTTAACATTCTGAGACAGACAGTAGGAGCCTATTCCAAGGAATGAAGGCCACCTTTCTGTGACTGTGCTTCAGTACTCCATCGGTCCTGAACAAGAACAAATTGCAGAGATGATCTGACACCCTGAAAACATCTGTCAATGAGGGCCCAAAACCAAGATGTCAGTGATTAGAGTTTCCATGGTAGAACTCCCAAAAGAGATGAGTGCCTTAGTCATGCTTATAGAACTGATCTCTCACTCTGTGTTGGAAAATAGTCTCTAAGTTATAATCAAAGCCACGACACAAGATGAAGTTGACCACCTTTCAATGCTTAGAACCGTACATGAGAGATCTCTATGTGTTGAGTACACACACAGCATTTCTTGGTAAATGCCATCTACCTTTTTGTAGCCTTCATTTTCCAATACTTCATGAGACAACATATGAATCATTCGATCATGAGGTACAGTCTCTAAGCACTTCATAAGACTATCATCAACACACACCCTTCTTTAACCCACGTGCAATATCCAATAATTGTTACGGTAGAGGAGACCATTCTGCCCACTGTAACTACACCAGCTTGAGCAGGGGAGATACAGCAGGAGTTTACTATTGGTAGACTGAACCCTTAAATTCTGCATGCAAATTTCTAACTGGAGTGCTATTATTGATCCTGCTGCTTGGCAATTTGGCATCCTATGCCCCTGCTGTCACTCTTATACACCTTTCTGCAGTGATTCACAGCATGAAGATCCCTCCTCTACCCTAGAATTTACCCTACTGTCACTAAGTTGTGTCTGCTGAGGTCAGGTGGAATGATTGAACACTCAATAAGTCTGAGTCCTCTGCTTAACTGGTAGAAAAGAGTCCATTATTTTCAACATTTGAAATTAAAGAGTTAACTCTTAGAAACAGTGATGGGTAAATAAATGTGGGCAGTTTGTCATGCATTGTGTTGGATGAGATAAAACAGAGAATGGAAAAAAAAAGATATGGTGAGAAGAAGCCAGGCACAATATAACCACTAGTTATAACCTCCAGTTATAACCCCTTATGGTCATGAATCTACCCTGCCCCTAGTGTCAGCAAAAGGATGTATAGGGTTCCTGGCATCTATTGTTAGCAGCTTCCTGCTGCATATTGTGAATGGCTGCAAGGAAGAATGGAATGTGCTAATGACAGGCACAGTCTCTTAAACAACCGACGAGCTTGTCATGAATTGTTCATAATTTGTGATAATGAGATGTGAGAAATTGAGGGTTGAAACAGAGGTGAGTCCAGCAGGTGTACAGCATGTGTGAATAGCAGGAGAAAACAGTGGTATGGTGTACTGTAGTGGCTGCAAGAGAATGAAGAGAACACTGGCAGCACTGTGATTGATTGACTGTAAAATGCAAAAGGTGGTGCAGCTAGGGGTGTTGGGAGAGTGTGATTGATGTGAGAACAGTTTCTTACCTTGACAACCCTGATGAGATGAAGGTAATTTTTCCTGCATTAGCAACTTCCAGGAGGTTAAACTCCTGGCACTAACCTCCTAAATAATATACCCAATGCTAATGGAGGAATTGCCTGGTGTGCGGTGAACAGGTTTCCTTTCCCTCTAGCTGTCAACAACCTAAATGACAGCATCCAAAAGGTGTGTCAGAGAACTAGGGTGATTCCTCTGTACCTCACTTATTCATTAAAAACTTTGCACAGTATTTCCCTGCCATCTGCTGCTACAGTGTGCATCTTGGAAACACTAGCCTCAGTAAATGACATGTCAAGCCTGATTGTTTTTCACACTCTCCATGCCCATACCTTGAAAATAGGCATGCAGTCAATAAGTAGTCTGGACAAGGGCTGTAGTACCAATTTCACCTGTATCCTGTTCTCAGCTGCTCATTTACAGACCTATCAAAGTTACACATAGAAAAGTCTCATGTTCACTCTTTTTTACCGAGCTTCTCAGACACTTCCAAGATTTGAGAAAAAAACAAACCCACTAAAATCAATGACAAGGCTGCAGTATTCTCAGCTGGGTAATTTTATACTAAATCCAGAAGTGTGTAACTTGTAAGATTTGCAAGTTCTTATTAAGTCAATAGAAGATAATTAGAAAGCCATTAACTTAAAGACCAATCCCCTGTCAAGTTATGTGCTTGTCAGAAAATGGGAACAAAATCTGTAAATAATAATTTCATCTCTAAAGGCATGTCAGAAAAGAACAAGAAGTTGTTTGTGTCAGATTAAAAAACAATTTTACTCAAACCTAGTTACCAAACACATTCATTCTTGGAAAATATTATATCTGTCTCACAGACGTAACCCCAGTGGAAGAAAGAGAATAGAATGTTAAAGGCATTGGGCCCAATTTTACTATACGGTGCCAACGCAAAATCATCCATTTTGTTTGTTTATATTTATTCTTCCTGCATTAACTCCTCTTTACTTTAACAACCCTTTTCATATATCCCATTTCCTAGTCTCTCCATAATGTATGAAATGTGTGTCCAATTAACGTCAAATAAGTTCTTATTATCAATGCAAATGTCACTCTTAAAGCATCATTTTAATTATCACTCTGACTTTACCTCCTTTTTAGGAAAAAAACCTTGAATCTATTTGATGTCTCACCTGAGGCACACACAGCAAAGGGAGATTGGACATAATTAAGCAGAAGTTCTATTTTTCCAGAAATAGCAGGATTGTTAAATGGATGCAAAATGAGGGCTCGCTTTATTGAATGATGCTGATATTTAACAAACTGACATGTCAACAGAAAAGCTTTTATGAATAACTAAAAAGGACTTAAATTAATGTTATCAAAATTATGAAGATTTTTAAGGGTAGACAGTGAAAGATGATTCCCACTTATTGGTGAATTGATAAGGGGACACAGATCTAGAATTATCATTCGATAAAAAGAATAAAAAGCAGGAAGTGTTTCTGTATTCACACAAAGTTATTGGGAATACAATGTTTAGCTGCAAGTGGCCACTGAGGCATTGAAATTGACATCATTTGAAAAACAGCCAGTTATTTGGAAAATAATACAAAGTATTTATAGCAAAAGTTCAAGGAATGGGATAAGAGTACAGACAGCTCCAGTTGAAGAGCCAGCGCTGCTCACGGCAAAATTCTTCCGAATAGATTCATTTACCAGGAAACAGAAGTTCAAATTCTAGACTCAACTGTCATTTGTTTTCAGAATTTCTGTATATAAAGTCCCGCCATGAAGGATCTTCTGGCCTGTTATTCAAATAATAGCTTAGGTAGGATTAATGGGCGCTGTTTCAGGCTGGGTTAGGAGGGGGAAGATGTGAAGAAAGGAAGAGGGAAATTTTACAAACATTATTTCATTGCTTTGAATCCATTTTTTTTCCATTGGATAAGACAGTCACCAGAAGGCCTGCATTTGTGACATATCTGTTTCAAGGCCATTTCAATATGCAATTAAAAGTTAAACACATTGCTAAGGGTCTGGAGTCATAGGCAGGTCAGATTGGGTAAGTAAAGCAGATATCATACCTAAAAAGGACATCAGTGAACCAGATGGGTTATTTATAATGCTCACCATCATTGTGATGATTGTTATGTTCCAGATTTATTGACTGAATTCAAATTCCTCAAGCATCCATGATGGGATTTGAACCCTTGTCCACAGTGCATTTACCAGGGGAATTACCTCTGCCCACTTTCCTCCAACTTACATTAAAATGATTTAAGACGACATGTTTGGATACGGCAAACATATCTTCTAATTTCCTTTTTATGTCTACCCAATGAGTCTATGTTCCATTATTATTACTTAATTTTGTGCAGATGGCAACCACAGAATACTAATTTGTATCAGGTACCAAAGTATTAGTCTTGAATCACTAACTGTAAGTTACTTGCACTGATTAGCTACATATATTTACAGGGGTATTAACAGTAATTAAATTGAAAAATAAATTGGCTGCATTCATTGCTTTTCTACCATATGGCAGGAATATTATAGGTGCAGTTGTGCACCATAATGAGCCATAATGCAATGTTGAGAAAGGACACAAGATAAATGCTTCATTGCCAAAATATCCAATCTCCAATTATTGGGGATCATGATGGATATAATAACTTCCCAATCTTTTAAAGAGCTTAAAAGTATCATATGGAAATGTCTGTGAAGCTAATTATTCAAAGTATGATTTCCCCACAGTTTAATAATGTGAAATAAAATATAAGTTACTAGTGGAACATACAAACTCTTCTAACTCTTACAGCTGTTTCTTAAAAATGCATTAATTATTTCATAAAGTTTAGAGAAGCTAGTTAATTATGTTACAAATTTAAGGCTAACAAGAATCTGAACATTGTAATTTGTAACCACTAGTCTCAGTTCACTTTGATAATTTACAAATATTACTTCTCTAGAACCTCTGAATGAAGCATGCAAAAGCTTTCATTAAAAGGTCTAACAGATAAGCAGTACTTGTAACTATTTTGCAAATAAGCAAAACAATTTGATCATGAAATTTCTAACCTAAGTATTCTAAGATTTTACACCATCTCTAATTGATAAATACCACTGTTACAATTTTCAAGGCAACAAATTCTGTTTGGCAGTTTTACAACAGGTCTATTAAGAGTGCACGATGACAATCTTAATTATATCAGTATGTCTTTAGTTTGCCCACTATAAAATCTTATTCACTCACAATTCCTACGTTATTTATTGCACCACACTGGTGATTTTTAAAAAAAATATAAATTTAGCTATTGTGAAAATATATCTAAGGTGGTCCACAACTTTGATTTTTTTCGAAGTACACATTTCTTATCTAGTGTACGATCAATTTTTCTTTTAACTGCTTACCAGTGTGGCTCCGTTTATGTACCATTAGAACATTGGGCCCAATGCAAACCATCCCACAGATGTCACACTTCAGTTTACCATTCGGAAGTCGTATCCCTCCATCAGCTTGTATCTCCGGCCCTGGGTTGGTTTCTGTCATTCCGTTGCTTTCCACCACAGACTCCTCCATGGTACTCATTTCCCCTTTGCTTCTGGCTTGGTCCACCTGATTAAGAACTTTTCCATCATCTTCATCACTATGCATCTCTATCTTGATGGAGTTTGCTGCAAAACCAATAAAATGTTTAAAATAAAATGTGGTCACTCGATTGCCGGCAGCTCAAATCCCAAGGAAAGACATTGCTTTCTTATACCAGTCCTTCCTCTTGTCCATACTTGATTGATGGCTGATTTGTAAAACTACAATGTTGAAAACAGACTTTATATGAATGAACGATTTGTTTAACATATTTCAAACATACCTTATTAGTAACAATATTCTTCTGTCATTTGATTCAGTCACAGCAGCATTTTTTCTTAAACTACTGTTTTGCAGTCTATCATTACTTGTACGTCACTGAGGCAGCACTAGCCATTGTTTTTGTAGATAGTGTGGTGCATAGTTTCCTGCACCTACAGTATGGGACAGCTCTTGGTGCATGTCTCAGCGGAATGTGATTTCTGGAGTGATGTTCTGAGCATTTGCAGCAGCAAGCAGCCAGCCCATTTCCCCCTTGAACACTGATAAAGATCTTTGTTTCATCCCACTGAAGAAACATATACAAATTGCTATTTTTTTTCACTCGAGTCTTAGAAAGAACATTTGATTTTGAAAAGTTATTCAATTTGGTTTAGAAAATAAGGTTCAGACTGCACTTTATCAACATCACAACACTTGTGACATGAAAGTAAAATTAATATTCACCATTTTTGAATGTTATGCTTATTTTTCTCCAAACTGAATGAAGATAAGTCAAATATTTAGCTCAGTGACTTTGTACAATGGGTATCTCTATACACTGGTCATAAAAATCTTCCACCCACATAAAGTCTAAAGAATGTTACAAAGTCACATTCTAGTGTTTTTGAAAGTATCCAATTCTTTTATTATCCTCACTTTTCTCCCAGTTCAGATTTAGCCAAATTTTTCAACTCCTATAGCATGAAGATTGAGCAGGTGCAAATTGCACTCAACTTTTCATTAATTCTATCCTTCTGACAATTACAAGAAGGCATAGAGCAGCATACTAACATTGGCTGATTTACATCCAATCCTGCAAGGAAGCATCTCAGAAGAGGAAATGCAAACTTTCATCATACTCGATACTGTGTACTGATGCTCCAACGCACAGCAACGCCACAGACACTGTGGTTAGAAAGTTACAGCTAAAAGTTTCTGTACTGTAATATGACCATCTAACAATAGTCCTTTCCTCTCCAACTGCTGAAACCATAATTCCATTACAATTACTTTCGGTCTTGATTATTTGAACATATATAGCCTTAGTGTAAAAATGAAAAGAAATAAAACAAAATAAACTAGACTTTCTAGCATAAATATTTGTTATATTTTCAAATAGTTCATAAAATGCACCCATAATCAAAACAATTCGGTGTTAAGTAACGATCACCTTAAACAAGGATATTGTCATATGGTATCACAAATCCCCAACAACTGAATTAAATTTAACTTTTGGAGCACAGGATAGATCAAACAAGTTGAAGCTAGCTTCCATTTTTTTCCACTGGACAATGTTCCAAGACTGCCATTTCAACCGTACAGAAGAAATAAATGGGAATTATGAAACATTTTTTAATTATATTAGTTAATTATTATTATGTTAGATGGAAGAAATCACTAGAAAACAGTGTTTATTTTCAAACCAAGACTAAGTGAGCATCCATAGTTCTCCTAAGTTCTTAAGAAATCCAAAATATTATTTTCAACTTCGGAATATTATTGCTGAACTTTAAACTTCACTTTTAATAGGATTTCCCAAAAGAATTGATAGTTCTTGCTCCACAGATAAGTGAAATATGGAAGAATTAAAGTCAATAGGATAGTGAGTGAAAGTTGCCAGTGTCAGCTGTAAAGTTAAAAAAATGATGAACGTGTTTGGAGTGAATGCTCAAATGTTCCACATACAGTGCCTGATCAAATGTATCAGCTTTGGCTATATGGTAGCATTCTTAATTATGGGTCATGTTTAAACCTCACTGCAGGCATGTGAAGTCATTTTCTAGGCTTACACTCAATGTAGTTGTCATATTTTGGACAATATAAATTAGAATTTTGTCTGCTTTCTCACGGACCCAAAATTTGTTGCACTATTTTGAGGAGAACTGGGAAGTTCTCTTACCACTTTTTATCCATCAAATAACATGACTAAAAAAGGAGATTAATTGTATGAAGTACTTATTTGCTTTTGCATCTCGCTATGTACATTAGTTGCCATGTATCTCCATATTGTTATATTTCAGAAAATGCCTTGTAATGTACTGAGCTCATAAGATACTCTTTCTTTCACAATCTCTATTTTGGTCCTAAGTGACTCAAATCACAAACATAAATTAAAAACATAGGATTAATAGTTACATAAGTTTGTAAAAATAATGGTTATTGCCAAAGCCATACAAATACAGTCATCAATATCAGATGCTGCTGGTGTGCACAGTCTAGACAGCACTCATTATTCAAAACTCCATGATATTGAGCAGCTGTACCTGCAAAGTGGCAAAACAGTTCAGGTGTAGTTCATAGCTACAGTCCAGCTAACATAACCAATGAAAACCAGTGAAAGTTGAGAATATAAGCTACTGAAAGGTAAATTTGAACATTTATTTTGCTTTTCTTTTCCTCTCACTCAGATTCTAGACCATAAAAAACTAGTCAAGCTAATTAAAAAAAAACTATTCAGTACATTAAGTTCTCAATTTCGGCCAAGCTGCAAGGACTCAAATCTGAGACCATACCATTCTGCCCTCAGCCTGCATCCTCCTGCCACCAGACAATACAGAATCACAGTGCAACATAACCTCTCAAGCAGCTAGGGAGAGGATGCTTGCAGATCCCTGTTTGCAAGAGAACTATTTATTGTTCAATGATATGCATATGAGGATAGGAAATTACTGATCAGGGTCGTAATAAAAACAGAATGATTGGTACATTTCATGGATAAACACAACTGGGGAAGAAAAGAATGTAAATTAATAAGGCCAAAAGAACTGCGGATGCTGTAAATCAAAAACTATTGAGCTTTTCCAGCAATCTCTGTTTTGGATTATTAAAAAGGTATTTGGGAAGGTTACTTCAGATCAAAATGCACTAATAACAATATAATTGAGGTGAATACACAAATACATTTAATATGAGCTAGATACACAAAACTGAGAAAGAAATAGAAGGGCCTGCAGAAGCTTAGATAAGTAGGATAGGAGAAAGCCTGTGTGCAACATGAACAATAGCACAGTCCCATGAGCCAAACAAAGTGTTTTTGTGCTGTAAATTCCCCACAGTTCTATATATATATCCGCTGCCACATTACAATGACGTTCCTGAACGAGTCAGAAATACAACAGGACTAAATAAAAGTTTGGGATCTCAGTAGAAAAGTCAACAAATTTTAAAAATGTTTTCAGAATTGTTCTTGGACATGTTTCAGACATATTTAAGGAAATTTAAAAATAAGATGAATGTTCAGAAATTATGATTCATGATTTGGAGATTTTTCTCGGATAAGCAATTCCAGTAGATCATAGATCACAGAATCCCTACAGTGTGGAAACACTAACCCTCCGAAGAGCATCCTACATGGACCCATTCCCCTATCTTATATTTCCCATGGCTAACGCACCTAACCTAAACATCTCTGGTAAATACGGGGCAATCTAGCATTGTCAATCCTCCTATCTTGCACATCATTGAACTGTGGGAGGAAACTGGACCACCCGAAGTAAACCCATGAAGACAGCAGCCCGAGGGTAAAATTGAACCTGGGTCCCCGGTGCTGTGAGGCAGCAGTGCTAACCACTGAGCCACCATGCCGCCCATTTTTTTAAACTGATTAGTGCCATTCAGTGTATTTCTTGTACCTCTCCATAGACTCACAGAATCCCTAAAGTGTTGAAGCAGGCTATTTGGCCCATCGAGTCCACACCAACCCTCCGAACTGCATCCAACCCAGACTCAGCCCCCAACCCATCCCTGTAACCCAGCACCTATCACAGTGAATCTACCTAATCTACACATCCCTATACACTATGGACAATTTAGTATGGCCAATCCACCTAACCTGTACATCGTTGGACTGTGGGAGGAAACCGGAGCACCCGGAGCACACTGACACAGGAAGAATGTGCAAACTCCATAGAAACAGTTGCCCCAGGCTGGAATCAAACCCAGGTCCCCGGCGCTGTGAGGCAGCAGTGCTAACCACTGAACCGCCATGCTGCCCCCAGTCACCGTGCCACCCCCATAGGACGTGGACACAAGTTCACTTACAATCAAATCATACAGAACAATATGTCATCAGTAAATCCATGATAATTCACTGTTTTGTATGCAGAAAGTATTACTTAATGTTCATTAAATTACATTATTTTTCATGAGACAATATTGTCCTGTCCTTTTAATCCATGTTAGATCAATTAAACTAGTACTTTTAATTGCAAATAAAATTCTATAAGTTTGTTTATACATCTGTGAGTTTGAAATATAGACCAATTATGATCATATTGCATCAATATGAGACAGTTTCAATTTAACTCAATACGAGGATCCAAATCAAACTTGGTGTTTGGCCACTTGTCTTGAGTAAGCAGTCTTGTAGCATTTGGATGTATAGGGACCAAGTTAATGCTTAAGCTTTTTCCTCAAAAACTGACAAACTGGGTTTGTGCACAGCAATAAGTGTGTGTTACCAACTTTTGTCTCACTTTAACAGTAATTGCAATTGTCCAACCTTTTGAATCTTCCAGGTGTATTTCATAGAAATGTCTTAGGAAGTAACAATATTCTAGGGACTCCTGCTTTAATTTGACAATTCTGTCTTTCTACTGCAAAAAAAACTATTTTGCTTGAAAAGTGGTCTAATTTAAATATGCTAATTTGGGTCGAAAAGTGCATTGTTAGCACTGTCAAAAAGAAAATGCAAAATACTACAACTAGTTATATGCCCATGATTGGAGTAATTTGTTCAGTCTGGTCTCCACACAGAGCGATATCGAGGCTCTAGAAAATGTACAGAGAAGAGAAACCAGGATGATATCAACCCTCAAGAATTCTC